GACACATTCCTCGACAAGGACTGCAATAGTTCTTTGATGGCCAATATCAATCTATTCAACGATGGGGGAGATGAAAGACCATGGCCATATTCAGTCGTAGTAGCATCAACCTCTCATTCGACAATTTTATCCAATTTCAAAGTTGGGGGTGCTTGGCATTATCATGGATGTCGCTACCTCCTTTGATGAAGGTCTCTCGTGTTTTATGTCGAGCCTACTATACACTTTTAAAAACTTTGAAATATTCACGTTTAAAACCCAGTGCAATATCTTACTTCGCTCGTTCCACTGGCGCCATGTTCCAACAAGTTCGCTCACCTGGTTGATGGTCGTGGTCAACAATGATCACATACGCTGATAAAATAGTTTCCCACCACCTCTAGCACCTAAACCATGTTCATACGCCACTAGTTACGTATATACAGTTCGCAATGCCATGCGACAAAGGCAAGTCCCGACAACCTTTCACCGTTGATAGTTGAGTCCATAAGCCTCCTAATTGTTGTGCTTCGGCGTAGATCAAGTGGACGGTCTCATCTACACCTTCCTCTGTGTGAACATCGAAAACTGAGACACGTATGTTTCACATATTTCAAGTGCACAAGGGAACCCACAAGTCTTTCCTCCAACAACAACTGGTTTGTCACATTGCTCCACATACAGCAAAACATAATTTTCATCACCATGCTCCCACCCCTCGTTCATATAAATAATGTTGATAGTTTTTACGTTGCCAAAAGTTTCTTGCTTGACCTCTCCGTCGCCCAGAGTAGTTATAACTTTGTATGTATGATTGTCCTGCCCGACTTCAATTGCCACAAAACAGCTCAACATTCAAGTGAAATGGTGTTCCGCTAAGTTAAAAAATAAGATATCATCGTTTAATATGCCGATCAACACATTACACATGCTATGAAGTTTTGCGTGCAACACAGATGACGGTTGACAGACAATTATGTGCGTGGCTATTTTTCATGGTGTGAAGGAACATAATGGTCGTGATCTCGCAAACTTCAATGGAGCTGCCGGGTGAATGAGAAGGCGTAGCAAGAATAATAGCTGGAACATCTCGAATACATGTGTCATCCGACGCACCAGAAAATGCTAACGCTAGCATCTGCCGATGATTGTTGTCACGGTTACGTCCTCCGCCTCGACTTGCTTTACGGCCAGCACCAGCATTTTGATCCTATTGGGAGTCCATGGCAATGCTTGAGAGTCATTTGCAAGCATTCATTAATAATCTGTAATTTCTGCCTGGTCATCGTGATGCTCATATTGTCAGTGGTTGAAGGCATGACCGCGTCCCCCCGAGACACCATGTATGGCAACCCACTTATGCACGTCACTTCTAATTTCTAGAACTTGGTTTGGACAAAAGCAAAGTAACTTGAACGAACACTCCAGCTAAGTGTTATCCCTCTTGATCTTTTAATCCCTAATGCCTCAGTTACCGTCGAAAACACGCTCATGTTAACTTTAACGAACACTTAAATAGTAGATACTGAGCACTACGTCTCTATTCCGACGGACGACTTTGATATCCAACTACTGATGTTGCGACAAAACTTAAAGCATTGCCTTAGGCGCCATGGACCTGCGACCAGAAACATCGACCTTGATGAATGCAGGCTTATGTTGCATCAAGATATGAGCATTGGAGATACACCTTTTGGAGACATCGATTTGCCATACACCTTGAACGTCCTTCTTCAATACGTGATTGCTATGGTTGACACGCCTATGGTAAGCGCTATGAATTGCCTGCATTCTACTGTCAATGAATGCATAGTCACCAAGCATTCCCAACAAATGTGACGCCGTAACATAAACAGACTCGTGACTTCAACCACAACCACCAGTACCTCGCCCAGCTTGAAAAAGCCGACGCGGCCGTTAACAGGCCGCATCGGGTCGGGTACCCACCCCCGTGCGACTGGTAGTCCCTAAAATCAGGCAAAAAAAAAAAAAAAACGA